AAACCAAATGGTCTTTTAGTTAAATTCAAGGCAACCTGTCAAAAAGTATTGAAGTGGAGAGTGATATACCAAAATTATATTTGCTATAACAATTACAGCAAAATTATAGTTGTACTTAGTTATTCTGGTTCATAGAACCACAACTTCTTGACAAGACCAGCACTCCATTTTAGCAACAATCGATGGATAAGCAGTCCTCATCTCGCATGAATGAAATCATTTTTAATGAGTACTACTGTTCCAAGTTTCATATTCAGTGACTTGATTTCATTGTTCCGACCCTGGTTCCATCAGTCAAAATATCTTTCAATGTTGCTGAAAGACAAATCAAGTTATCGACACACGGAAAAGAGAGGTGTTTCCGCAATATATGCAAGCTACGAAAATTACACAGTTTACAACTTAATGTACATGCAGTCAACTATGGCACAACATGATGTTATGCAAAGTAATTAGCATCCTCGGTCAAAGATCAACGACCAGTAGTCCAGTACACACTTTGTTCAAGAGATAAAATGATGCAGGGAAAATAGCGTTAAATTAGGATTTAATTAGAATTTAATTTTATTTCTCTTTTTTTATTTGATTTTCTTATTTATTTAGGGTTTCATGTTAGAAATTCAAGTGGTTTTCTATTTTAATTAGGAGTTTAGTTGATTTAAGAAGTTTTAATTTAGTTAAATTTTACTTTTTTATTTTATAATTAGTCAACCGTCGGGATTTCTTATTTTAATTAGTTTTCGTGTTTAAAGAGAATTTTATTTTCTTGTTTATTAAGAATCTTATTAGGGTTGGTTATCACTCTATATAAACTTATTTTTCATTTTGGATGTTATTCAATGAATTATTCAAATTTTATCTCATACTTTAAGGCTTAAGTTTCTGAATTGAGACTTGTTTATCAACCTTAAAGGTATTGTCCACTATTATCCTTGCTTATTACACTAACTCGCTACGTCATAAAAGACTATTTATTAATTACAATCTTCTGGATTCAAGAGTTATTATTCCTAGATTTAAGTTTAATTGTGGATTCAAACTACTATGCTAAAATGTTGAGTGATTAATTATAAAACTAGTTTAAGGCTTGCGCAATTTTTGAAATTCGATTTGAATATATAGTTTATCTTTTGGATTGTTTTTTAGTTATGAATTTCATTTTGACGTTATTTAATGTTGCATTAATGATTTATATCTTATATTAATTGCATATTAATTTTATGTGAAAAAAACAATATTTTATTACAAGCATTTTTTGATACACGGGATAAAAGACTTTAATATTCTATTAATGAATAATATTTTCTTTTAATTGCATATTAATTTTATGTGAAAAAACAATATTTTATTGTATGTATATTTTGACATATTGGATAAAAGAATTAATAATAGTAATTTTTTTTCATTATTACACATTTATATATATTATTGTATGTATTTTTTGGATTAACTTTAACTTGTAGTTAATGCTCTATCAGTTGTTGGGCCGGGTTTTATTTTAAATTTGTTAATGTTGTATGAATTGTTTGGTCGGATTTTATTTCAAATTTGTTTACCTATTTAGTTAGGGTATTCTTCAGTACATTGTCATCGTCTCTACCTCGCCATCTTGTATATGTTTTTGTTTTTCCTTCGGTTTCTTTGACTACTGCTTTTTGTTTGTTTAAAGCTTCTATAGTATCTCAACAATATTTTGTAAGAATGTAAGTAATATTTATTTCGTCCCTTTTTCTTTTTTTGTTTGTAACTCCTTTTTTTTTTTTTTTTTTTTTTATTGTTTGATTTGTTTATCTGTACTTTATATTATATCGTGTAGCTTTATTTGATATACATTGAACAATGATAGTGAGGATAAATATTTGATTGGGCTTTTATAGTTTTGCAAGATTGATTTTTGAAATTTGATTGTTGCATGGAGATCTAAAATAATGGGTTGAAGAAAGTGAAGCTTTATTTAGTTTTTTTTTATTGTTTGAGTTATTATACTATTGTTCATAGTATATTGTAAAATCGTGTTTGATATACATCACATAATGAGAGTGATGACTAAGTGTATGTTTGAGCTTTTATAGTTTTACAAGATTGATTTTATATTTGTCTTTTGTTTTTGTTCTAGTATTGTTGATGGCATGTCAACCTCAAATCAAGCGTTGAAGGTTGAAGAAAAGAAAGTGCCCTGCTAATGTTAATGCTAGACACTATTCGTTTTCAACAAATCTTGAAAAGCAAAATGAAGATATTCAGCATTTGATTGATTCTGTTGTTTATAATGAAAGTGAAGAAGAAGATCAACAACTAGGATACGTAAATAGGAAAAAGAAAACTTTGGAACAGAAAATTGATTACTTGATTGAACTCATAGAAAGTAAATAAAGCAAGCTTACATCTCATGATAATTCTTGTACCTATCAATTCAAATACAGAAGTTTATATTTAAGTTCACAGAAAGTGGTATTATCAGCATAGTTGTAAAAGTATTGTTTTTTACATGGATTTTCATTATTGTATTGATTTAATTGTATCGGTCATGTGAGTATGTTGAACCTGAATATTGGGGAAATAATTTTGACATAGAAAGCAATTAAGAAACATTCTAATCCTATATTTGTGCATAATTTGCATGGAAACTTGGACTCTGCTTAGCATACTAAATGAACTTTGAGGTAAAAATAACGGCGAATAAAACCTTAACAGCAACTTTTTGCCATCATGCATACGAGCAACATGAACTTGTGCAAGGGAAGCAGTTTCTATAGGAACAAGATCAAATTCTTCAAAAACCTGCACATAAAGACTTAAACATCAGCAAGCGCATATGTCTCATTTGGGAATAACAATATGACCACTCAACATGAGAATTTGTGCATAAATCTCCTAAGCACCAATATCACTTGTAAATAATTCATGAAATAAAAATTAAATTATTGGCTGTTAAAAAGCTAGCCAGATTCATGAAAAAATGTGCATCCTTGTTAGAGAAACCCAAGTTGGACAAACAGTATGCACAAATTCTCATGTTGAGTGGTCATATTGTTATTCCCAAATGAGACATATGCGCTTGCTGATGTTTAAGTCTTTATGTGCAGGTTTTTGAAGAATTTGATCTTGTTCCTATAGAAACTGCTTCCCTTGCACAAGTTCATGTTGCTCGTATGCATGATGGCAAAAAGTTGCTGTTAAGGTTTTATTCGCCGTTATTTTTACCTCAAAGTTCATTTAGTATGCTAAGCAGAGTCCAAGTTTCCATGCAAATTATGCACAAATATAGGATTAGAATGTTTCTTAATTGCTTTCTATGTCAAAATTATTTCCCCAATATTCAGGTTCAACATACTCACATGACCGATACAATTAAATCAATACAATAATGAAAATCCATGTAAAAAACAATACTTTTACAACTATGCTGATAATACCACTTTCTGTGAACTTAAATATAAACTTCTGTATTTGAATTGATAGGTACAAGAATTATCATGAGATGTAAGCTTGCTTTATTTACTTTCTATGAGTTCAATCAAGTAATCAATTTTCTGTTCCAAAGTTTTCTTTTTCCTATTTACGTATCCTAGTTGTTGATCTTCTTCTTCACTTTCATTATAAACAACAGAATCAATCAAATGCTGAATATCTTCATTTTGCTTTTCAAGATTTGTTGAAAACGAATAGTGTCTAGCATTAACATTAGCAGGGCACTTTCTTTTCTTCAACCTTCAACGCTTGATTTGAGGTTGACATGCCATCAACAATACTAGAACAAAAACAAAAGACAAATATAAAATCAATCTTGTAAAACTATAAAAGCTCAAACATACACTTAGTCATCACTCTCATTATGTGATGTATATCAAACACGATTTTACAATATACTATGAACAATAGTATAATAACTCAAACAATAAAAAAAAACTAAATAAAGCTTCACTTTCTTCAACCCATTATTTTAGATCTCCATGCAACAATCAAATTTCAAAAATCAATCTTGCAAAACTATAAAAGCCCAATCAAATATTNGTCGGCTTCACACCATGGATCGGCTCAGCTCTCATGGTGTCATTACGTCCTCCCGATGTGTTTTGTGCAGATCAGCTACAGAGACCCATGACCATTTGTTTTTCAGATGTGACTTTTCCAGTTATGTTTGGCAGGAGGTCACTACCAGGACGCTTTCTACATGGCCTACTCTCTCCTGGCTCCCTCTGCTTCAGTGGGCTAGTTTGCATCTTCGACGAAAAGGTGACTTCAGTCACCTTCTTTCCCGGTTAGTCCTTTCAGCCACAGTTTATTTCCTTTGGTTTGAACGGAATAATCGCGTGTTTCGTCAGCATTGTAGCTCCCGCAGAGATATTGTCTTAGCTATTTGTGATCTAGTTCGGCTCAAGATTTTGGGTCTAGCACCTAGATACGAGATCCCGCCTCAGCTCCGTGTGATATGGCATCTTCCTGACTAGCTTTGTAAGGGACCTGCATGCTCTTTTGTGTCGGTTTGTGACTTTGTGTTTGTGGTGAGCCTGCGTGCTCTTTTTTGCCGGTCTGTGGCTTTGTGTTTGTGGTGAGCCTGCGTGCTCCTTATGCCGGTTTGTGGTTTTTTATGGCATCTTTTGCTTTGTGGGGAGCCTGCGTGCTCTCTTTTGATGCTCATGACTTTGTGGGTTTTCCCACGTGTTCTTGACTGATAGTTATCAGTCATCCTCTTGGGGTATGCCCCTCGTATTTGTATTTTTTTGTCTTTTATACATACTTACCTTATCCAAAAAAAAGTAGACAATGTGGACGATGGTCCAAAGCATACAATTAATTTTATATCTGATACGTAAACTTGCTGAACATGTAAAATTATGTGTTCATTTTAACATCATACCATAATATATACTTCAATAGTTCATGTACAGTGATACAAAATAGGATTCTAAACTAATAATGTCATTTAACTTTTGATTTAAGAGGGGAAAAAAAAAAAAAAAAAAAAAAAAAAAAAGGTTATTCTCTACAAGCTACCACTAGTGTAGGAAATTTGCAGGAAAGAACTCATCACCTTTGCAAAAATCGGTAGCAACAACATCGATAGCTATCTTTATCTTCTCACCATACCCTGTTCTGCTGATAGCCTCTTTAATAAAATCCAATCCTTCTTTCTCGCTGCCAACAAGAATTGTACATAATCAGAAAATGAACAACCCTCTAATGAAAGTTTACTAGTATTATGCATGACTTTATATGTCGAATTTAAAACTTAAGCAACCATAAATAATAGGAAAGTGAAAAGGAAGCCAAAGAACAAATATACTTCGCATATGAGTAGAACGCAATAAGAAGATTAAGAACTTACTCCCATTGCAGTGGTGAACCCCAACTTTAGCCAACATCGCATAGTACTCTATCTCAGACTTCCGAAAAGGATGGCTGTTGTTGGCAATGATAACCAGCTTCGCTGCGACCCGAAAAAGAAAAAGAAAAAGATGGTTCATTTAACAAATCCGCAAGAAATGAAATATTCCCATAACAAAGACTAGATCCAGTCAGAACACAATAATTTCTAAGTTCTCATGAAAAAAGGGTCACAACCTAACAACTAAAACACAATTATTTTTTTGGGTCCATAGCTAAGAGTCATTTTAGTTCATAAAAGAAGCTAAAAAATGCAGAGATAATATAATCATCACTACATGAAATAAAACGAAAAACAAAGTTAATAGCTTAGGTTACCTTTGGAGCTTCTTAGGGTGTGAAGCACAGTTTTGTAACCCAAAATGTATTTGCCATTCTTCATGACAAGAGCAAGCCTGTTGTTGCTCTCATGGGACTTCTTCTACAAGAGTTAGCCATAATCAACTTATTTCTCTTCTTTAATTTAGATTGAAAAGGAATAAAGAAGAGAGAAGAGAGACAGAGAAGGAGATGAGTTACAATCTTCTTGGCGGCCACCATTGTGTTAAGGCACTAAGGTTCTCACAAAACAGCTTCAAAGAAAAGCGAAGAGCTATCTTAATGAATTTCCCTATAATTTCCCTAACTCCAAAATCTTAACATTCAATCAAAACCATCAAATTGAACACCAAAATCAACCGAATTTTAATTAAATCGACGAATTTTCTCCCATTACGATCTCTAAATTTAAAAAGAAAAGAATGAGAAAGAGGTGAATGAACCAGATTGCGAAGAGGTGGAGAAGCAGAGAGAAATTGATCTTGGAGACGAAATATTTAAACATTTGTTTCTCTCCGAGCTATTTTTGCAATTCTTCCAATTGTTTCCGAGAATTGATCGAATTGGGGAGTTGGATCCGAAGGATCAAGTTGAGTCGGATCCATCAAAGTCGGAGGATTCCTTGGAAGAGAAGAAGAGTTTGTTCTTGAACACCATTGTTACGGTTGATTAGAGAGTAATTTTAAGCAACCCTAGCATGTTAGAGATGTCGGGCTACTGAAAGAAACATTGAATAAGACGAAAAGAGAAGAAAGGGAAAATTTTGAAAAATGGGTGGGGAATTTGGCCTTGATGAAAATTGGGGGAAAAATTTTGCCTTGGAGAGAGGTGGAACAACCCTAACCCAGCCCACAATGAAGCAGGTTGATTGGTGGTCCAGGTTGATTGGTGGTCCAGGTTGAATCCAACCCGGCAACAACCCCTAGGCGGGCCGGGTTGCAAAATGGCAACCCGTCGAGTGCGGGTTGCTGTTTTGTCTCTTTTAAAAGAGACCTGCCAACCTGTCGGGTTGGCTGTTGTCAACCCGACGGGTTGACTGTTATAAAATAACGGCCGGCGGGTTGACAACAGCTAACCCGACGGGTTAGTCGAAAAAAAATAAAAAATTTAATTTTTTTTTCAAATTACCCCTTTACCCTTGAAATATAGCCGTTTTATAGCTGTTGGAGGGGTCTTTTTGGTCATTTTTCTTTCCCTTTTTTTCTATAAATTGGCCCTAAACTCTCACATTTTTCTCACAACTCAAATTCTCTAATCTCTAATCTCTCAATTATTCATTTATTCTCTTAATCTCTTTGTTATCAATTTGCTTGTATTTTAATTTTTATTAGTTTTTGTAATTTTTAATTCATATTTCCAATTTTCCAAATTCCAAATTCCAAATTCCAAATTCCAAATTCCAAATTTCATATTCCAATTCTCTTTCTTTAATTTTTATTTCTTCTACATCAATTTTTTTTTTCAACTACAATGGATAGATATTTCTCTCCCAACAATTACAATGATGAAGGAAACTACTATCCTAGTCCTAGTCCCGCTGATTTTACTAACATAAATGCAGGAGGAGATTCAAATAGTCCCGCTTTTCGATTCTCAGAATCCGATACACCTCAAAATATGCCCCCGATTCCAACAGCTCCCGGTGGTTCTAGAAGTCGTCCTCGTAATCGTCGTGCTCGTCCAACTTCATCTCAAGCTGAGGCGGGATCATCAACTGCCGTCGAAAGCGAAGACAGATACACATCAGACGTTTGGGCGTATTTCGACAAGTTTTACAAGACAGAAAATGACATTCAAGTTAAGAAAGCGAGATACAAATACTATGGAAATATTTATAAAGCTGATTTAGGTAATGGTACTAGTACTTTAAAAAGGCATGCTAATAAACATATTAATCAACATGGAAATAGAGAAAGCAATCAAACTCAAATAACTAATATGGGTACTAATTGGAGTTATAATTCTGATGTATATAGGGAACAGTTAGCTTTATATATTACTGCAACTGATCAACCTATTAATATGGCTGAAGATAAATATTTTGAAAGATTTGTTCAAAATTCATTTTTTCCAGGATTTAAAAGTTATTCTAAAACTGCAACTAGAAATGATTTAATAAAATTGTTTAAAAAAATGAAATTAGAATTAAAAAATAAATTTCATACTTGTCATATTAGTGTGGCTTTAACTGCTGATATTTGGAGTGGTAGAGCTAAACAAGATTATATTTGTGTGACTAGTCATTATTTTGATAATGAATTTAAATTAAATAAATCTTTATTAGGATTTAGATTAATGGATGTGGATCATAGTGGTTTAGAAATCTATAATAAAATTATTGAAGTTTTAGAAGATTATGATATTATTGATAAAGTGATAAGTTTAACTTTAGATAATGCAAGTTCTAATAGTAAAGCTATAGAATTTTTTCAAAATAATTATCTTTTATATAATAATTTGAAGTTTTTTCACCAACGTTGTGCATGTCATGTTATTAATTTAATTGTGAAAAGTGGTATGAAAACAATTAAAAAAAATATTGATAGAATTAGGGAATCTTTAGCTTGGATTACTAGTAGTAATAAAAGAAATGCTGAATTTCAAGAAGCTTGTATAAAATCAAATATGTCTCCTAGAACTTTTGCATTAGATATGCCTGTTAGATGGAATAGTACTTATTTAATGCTTGATTCATGTTTACCTTATGCTAATATAATTAGTTATTTTGTAGCAAATAATAGAGGTCCTCATCATTTGGTAGAAAATGATTGGAAGATAGCTAAAGTATTTCATTCTTTTCTCAAATGTTTTTACCAAGCCACTTTACAACTTTCTGGTGCTGTATCATCCTACTAGTCATTGGTAATGCATACAATTATAAAAATTTCCGATTTATTTATAAAAAACAAAGCAATGTAATTTTAAATGTACCATAAAGGCAATGGAATTTTTTTTTTAAAATATTTGGAACCCATCCTTTTCTTTATTGTTTAGGTGCATATTTGATCCTAAAATTAAATTAGCAGGTTTGAAATGGTTTTGACAATTTATGTGAAAATTTACAAACCGAAGTATATGCCAATCAAATAGGAGAGGTAAAAATAGACTTTTCGAAGTATATTTCTAATATGAAAATAGGTATGGAACCGCAAAGAGGCGAAACATCCAGGGAAGCTCCCAAGAAACAAATAAAGACTTCTACTCTTGGGGTGCACTGAATAGGCCGAAGAGGACCCAATCCGAAGCACAGCCTCCTCTTCAGAAGCTCCACCAACAACAACAACTAATGTATTGTCTTCCATGCAGTCGTAGAGTAATGAGCTTCAACAATATTTGGCAACCCCTGAAATGTTTCAGTAGATCCACAACAGAGAGCCAACATTGATCTCTTAGAATATTGGAGAGCCAGAAAATGTGTTTTTTTCGGTATTATCAAGACTTGCCTTGGATGTTTTCGCTGTTCCTGTCACAACCGTCTCATCCGAACAAACATTTAGTGCAAGTGGAAGAATTTTAAATGAAAGGAGGACTAAACTTTCACAAAAATGATTGAAGTCCTCACATGTCTTCGAGATTGGGAACGGTCACGCCATCAAGGTCATACGAGGTTGTCACGATACTTTAATAGAATCATTTCAATTTTATAATATAGAGATACGGATGAGGGAGGTCCTAGTAAACCCCAAAATTAGTTATTTTGTAAATTGTAACTTATAAATTAATTGTCAATTATTGCACTCTTTTTTCCTTACCAAGTTTTTGTCCTATTGGGTTTTTCTTGGTGAGGTTTTTAACGAGGCAATAATTGTTGTAATTTCTTATTTTATTTTTAATAAATGAATAAATTTAATTATTCTTATATCACAATTTTAATGTATTAAAATTGATTAATTTTGGAATGTTAACAAAAAAAAACTTTTAATTTAATTTAATTATTGATATTTGAAAAGAAATTAACAATTAACTAAAAACAATTACATTTATTCATTTATAAATTGTTAATTATTCATTTGAAAAGTTAATTAAACATTTAAACTTAAACAAAATAAAACAAAACAAAATTAAAAAAAAAAAATCAAAAAGAGGGTTAACTCGGCCCAACCTGCATCCTAACCCGACGGGTTAGGGTTGGCGGTCTAGGTTGGGCCAGCCAATTCCCTAACATTGGCGGGCCTAACCCGACCTGCCAATGTTACCAGGCGGGTTAGGACCGACCCGTCGCGGGTCGGGTCGGGCGGGTTGCTTTTCCACCTCTAAGTGATACTTTTGATGGGTGGGAAATTTTTCCTTAGTGAAATTTTTAAATTTTGTTTTTCAACTTAATCTTGACAGTTTTAACCGTCAACGATTGAAACTACAACTGTTAAGAAAAAAATTCATACAATTTATTTTTGACCAAATCCTTGACAGTTAATAATTGTAAAAAATCATTCAAAACAGTCAAAAATTATTCAAATTCTTAACAGTTCATAACCTGTCAAGAATTACAATTCTTGACATTTTTTTTAGAATGATAAAAAAATCTGTCAACTCATTTTGTAAAGGAAGGGGTTTTTTCTAGTAGTGACATATTACAAATAGAACAATTATTTGAAAAAAGAGTCATGAAACAAAGAAAACCCATTAAAGCTTACCTTTGAAAGAGTTGAATCACACTCAAATCAAAACCCAAATAAAAAAGAGATCGAAAGAATAGACCCACAAAACAGTTTAAAAAAAAAACCCAGAAGGTACACAGAAATAAATGTATAGAAAATAAAATCTAAAATCTAAAAAACAAGAAGGTAAATAAAAATGTGAACCTTATTTGGAGAAATTGATGAATAAGAAACCGTCTCGAACAAGTATCTATAAAACAGAAAACTTAAATACCCAATTGAGAAAATAAATAGATATTATCACACACCATTCATTTATCAACAACAATAAAGGAATTTAAAGCACCCATTACAATTATAATAGCCATTGTAATGTTAGATGAAAGAGAAAATAAAAGTAAAATCACCCATTACGAAGTTAAAACCATCCATTTAGGAATGTCACAAACAACAGATGCTTAAACAAATTAAAGCAAATGTTGTGAAGAAATGGATTGAAAATCAAACAATAAAACCGAAATACCATATGTAAAAGAATAAGTTTTGGCATAAAAATAAAAAGAAATTACCTTCAATGGGGTAATGTAAGCGACAAAAGTATAATCAAGGAGATGGTAAAGTGAA